GCTCCATATAACTAGTTATTTATTTAATTAACAGAATCTCCTATTCAGGCATGGAATCCTACCAAAAGAGAAAGCGAATCCGAAAGAATCGATCTTGATGTTTATGGAATATGAATGATTGGCCTAGGATGTATATAAATATAGCACAAGTATTTGTCACCGGTTAAGTACTAAATGTAAAATTACTTCTAATTATATCATAGATTTGATGTTAGCTCAACACACAGCTGCACCGCATGTCATATTGGATTACTCATAATAAAACTGTCTTAATAGTGTTGTGAAAAGCCAGATTGCAGGCTTGGAACAGCAAGAATAATATTATTGGTACATTTTATGACTGGATTTTATCTTAATTTCTACAAGCATGAGCCTTGACCATTGGAAGGAGTAGGATCAGTTACATCTTAACCGAAAACATCTCTGGTTTTAAAACCTGTTCCTATTGGCAATTTCAAATTTTGAGGTATGCAAAGTTCGTATCCTCATTCGTGTTCAATTATATTGACCTGAAATTGTAAGATGAAGTGGGGTAATAGTTTTAAAGTCAACTAGCATGTTCATTTCATTGATGAACTCATGACTCTCCATTACCATTGTTTTACATTTAGAAGCCTTAGAATTTGAGTCTATCAGTGACCCACTTTTAAAGCAGTTCAGTGCTTCCAACCCCTCCACAAACTTACGCGTGAAGTGCAATTTGTGGCGAGGAAATTTCCCTTGCTTGTTCGCTCTGGCTAGTACGTACGAGACTTCAGCCTTCAGCAATTGACTTAACTTTACACGAGTCAAGTCCCTGTAATTGCCTCCATTTTGGCAGACATGAATGCTATTTTCTTATGAGAATCCTAGGCCCTTTAAGATGATCATAGGACTTAAAACGAGATTTGTCTCAATTGAACGCTAATCCTGAGTTTCTTTTCTCTAGGGATGTGTCCTTCAGACTTGTAAGAAACGGATGGCTCAAACATACCCGGACATGGATTCTTTAATGTCCACTAAAGTTTCATCAAGTCCGCATACCACTACCACAATCCGCTACCATGCCTTTTTAAATTGCTCAATTTTGGGATATATAATCTTCAGTGAATCAAACAAGGAATTTCTCAGATTTAAATGGTCGATTGCTGATGTTTGACAGAAAATCTACCTATGTTATCAAAGCATTAGTTTTATTAGAATCTGGTAAATTGCTTATTGACCATAACTTTTTTTATGCCAAAGTCCAAAAGGCAATTGATTCATTGCTAAATTCTCTGGAATGGGACACTGAAATATGGCCAAATATAAGCATGAGAACTACTTTACACCAAACTATCCAGCAAATGCTCTCCACTGTTGGGAATTCTTGTTGTTTCCTAGGTTTCGGACAATAAGCGAAGCCTACGATAATTATTGCTACTGTCCATGTGAAGCAGACAATTTTATTCATAAAGGTTCCAAAGATTCAGCTTATTAAAATTTTCTACTTGCACTCCAAGAAATGAAAGAACAGACGTTCTGGTCTGGAGATGTTTTTGAGCTTTAGGTTTCTAGCCGTCGAGGTTGGGCTGGTTTTAAATCCAATAAAATGATAAGATCCGATTAGTATAGCAAACAAAAATGGGTCTGTCTAGTTTTAAAGTTTTTGGCCTCTAGTGTTAAATTTAACGTGGGCACCTAGGGTACAAGTTTGTGACGAAACGTGGAAGCCCAAATCCGCTTTCGCTTGTTTGGACTGAATTGGAGTATGGATGGTTCAGGTTTGTGATGAAACGTGGAAGCCCGGCTCAAATTCTTCTTCGCTTGTCTGGACTAGTTTAGAGGCAAAGAGATGATTCAGGCAAACAGGCTCCAGGGATAGAAAGTTAGAAAGTCCTAGTAAGTAATGAACCTTTAAAGAGTAATTTTTAATTTTAATTATTAAAAGAAAAGACAAAGTTGGAGATGAAACCCCACAAATCCTTTATGGTGGCCTGCTATTCCTTGTGATAGAAAAACAATCACCTTTCGGTGCCTCCACAAATCACGCAAAGGCACAGCAGTGCCATAACAATATTAATTACTTATCATGGCAAATAATATCTCTTCCATCTTGACATTGTAAAAAAAAATAAAAAAAGTAAAAAGAACAATCTCATAACTAGTGAGTACTAAATACATGAAGAAAGGTTTTATGTATTTTGTTTCTTGCGTCTGGGAGGTGTATCTCCAGTTTTAGATTTCCCAAGGGCACAACAAAATCCCACCAAATATACCCATATCAAAACAACAAGAGTAATGAACAGTATTATGCCTACTCTTCTCCATTCTTTGTGTTAAGAATATTGACTCAAATCTCATAAGAGATTTGTTTGAGATTTATCAGATATTGCTTGATGGACAAGAAGACTTGCAAAAGAAGAATTCCAAGAGAAAGAGGATTCTTAATAGGTAAGTTTGACTTGCAAGAGAAGAATTCTAAAAGGAAATGGATTCTTAATAGGCAAGTTTGACTTACAGGAGAAGAATTCTAAGAGGAGAGGGATTCTTAATGAGCAAGTTTGTATGGTTATAAATAGGTGAAGTCTCTACAGGGTTAGGTATGAGAAAAAGATGTAAGAGAATTGTAGGGTTTTATGGGATAGACGTTCCATAAGAGTATTGGGGCTCTACGTCTTATGGGTATGTATGTTTATTTGTGAGTGGACTAGAGGAGATTGAGAGGGTCCACATAGGTATGGTGTATGGGAGCATATGGGTATGTGTTTGGTTATGTTGAAAGGGTGCACAAGGGTTTGAGTTTGTGTTTGTTTGGGTTGAGAATACTCTATAGGACTAGAGGAGATTGAGAGTGTCTTATGAGTATTGATTGTTGAGTGAGGTTGATGATTTGATGTATGTTTGTAATTCTCTACAACTAGTGGATCTTATTTCTTATCCGTGGATGTAGGTCAGTTGGACCGAACCACGTTAAATTATTGTCTCTTGTGTGTTTGATTTATTGTTTGATTTCGCTTCCGCTGGTGTGATTGGATTGGAGGCTTTTAGCCCAACACTTTGGTCAAATTGGCAAGTAATCCCGCTTTGCATGAATCGCGATGGAAGCAAAGTTGCATCTGATCATTGCTCCACTGCAAGCAATCCATACTCGCTGCTGTGTTGTTGGGAGTAAGCCAATATGTTGGATTTATGTAAGTGTACCCACATTCAGCTGGGGGCATGCAGCACCCATACTGTGAAGAAAAAACACAAAAATTTAAGAACGAAAGAATTTTTCATGGTTGGAGAATCAAACTACATTGCTCTGTCTAATTCTTTGTTTTTCTTATGCATTGCAAGTTTAGAAAGATGAGACAGGGAATTGGTTTCATTATCTAAGGAAATTACGAGAAAAATAAATCAACTGAAACTTAAAAGATGAAATAATAAAGTTACCTGTATAGAGGTTAACCGAGAATTGAAGAAATCCTGAGCTATGCGATATCTCTGGTTTAACTCAGAACACATATCCGTGGAGTTAAGGCAGGCTCTTATCCGGTCCCACTTATTAGGACTCACGACCTTTCGACGTAGCCAACCAGAAAAATCATCAAGTTCATGTTCCACGTATGTGCGACCTGGCGCTGGGTGCCCCGAACCCTTGTTGGTGATCAAATAAATTAAGACAACCAAACATGCAAACAGTACCATAAGGATGAACATTGCAGCAAGGTAAAGGATGAGGAGCCAGGTGATGCGCCAACACCCTCCTACGAAGCCTAATAGAGCCACAACCAACATTGATATTCCTAGAATTATAAGAGGCCACTGCAGAATCTTCACGCAAGAATTATCTGGTTCGTTTGCGAGCCAGATTCCAGCACCAATGATTGGAATCGAGAGAAGCAAGGTGATGAAGTTGATGGTACCAATGACGGTACTATTTGCTGCCATCTCGGTGACAGGATTATGAGAAGATCTTCCTGAGGATGGTTTGTTGTCTGAGATCTAATGCTAATGGTGAAAAGGAAATGGAATAGCTAAAGCAAGATAAATATGAACAAAATAATGAAGAAAATGATTACGACATGAGCTTGTATTTTCCAATTTTAGGCCCGCTAAAGAAGCACGAATCACGATGAATTGAATCCCTTTTTTGCACAGTTGAGCTTCAGTTTCCCCTGTTGTACATTCTGCAAGCCCAATTTGTATTATTTATCTAATCCTAACAAAGCATAACGTCCTTAGAACCTGGAAAAATGCATAGGATCATGTCTTTGGGAATTATCTGAAGCAAGATACTCAGGAATAACAATGTAAAGGTTGCAGGATCCATTAACAATTCACAATCAGGAGTAAGTATCTATCCAGGACAAATGCCTCAGTTAGGATTCCTGTTGTTTACTTGGATTAGAACATGGGGCCAAAACCAAACAAAATTTATAGTTCTCGAGCATGTAAAAATATTTGTCAGTAGTTTATATATGCTAGAATGGTTCTGAAAAGTGGGTTTTAAATGAATATATATGTTAGATTTAGAAGTGCTAGCATGAAGCTGAAGATCATTTGGAGAATTATTTCTCCGACGAGTACGACTTCCAGCCATACTTACATCGTTTGGTTAGTCTCAACTCTACTTTGTTTTCCAAATTCCAAAACCGGAATTTCAGGTGTTCTGCCCCCATGCTTCATGCTTTCCTGGAAAAGTAATCTTGTTTAATATTCAAAATTAGCTACAAAGATTTACATGCACAGAGGCAGAAGTGACCCTATGACCTATTTCTTAGTTTTTGTCATTGAAATATTGCAGGCATTTTCTACATATTGTCAGACAGTGATTGACAATTAGTCATGAACCCCACCCGCATATTGCACACAGCTCATCACTGCTTAGCATAAATTTCTACGCTGGAATGAAAACAATCAGTACCAACACATTTTTCAACCAAATGTAACAAGGAAAGTATTTGCTTATACAAGTCACAAAAACAAAACTCCATTCGAACGAGCCCCAATTGCACCACTACAGCTTACGGTTAACTAAGTCTCACGTGTAGCCTTGTTTGTAGCGTCTAAATATGTCCTCAGTTTTGGCATTCCTAAAGGCACAACATCCTATCAAATATACACATATCAAAGCAATAAGAGTTATAAGCAGTATTATGTCAGCTTTTCTCCATATTGCACACAGCTCATCACTGCTTAGCATAAATTTCTACGCTGGAATGAAAACAATCAGTACCAACACATTTTTCAACCAAATGTAACAAGGAAAAGTATTTGCTTATACAAAGTCACAAAAACAAAACTCCATTCGAACGAGCCCCAATTGCACCACTACCAGCTTACAGTTAACTGATTCTCAGGTATAGCCTTCTTTGTAGCGTCTAAATATGTCCTCAGTTTTGGCATTCCTAAAGGCACAACATCCTATCAAATATACACATATCAAAGCAATAAGAGTTATAAGCAGTATTATGTCAGCTTTTCTCCATTCCTGCTTCAGATTTGCAAGTAATCCTGCTTTGCACGAATTACAATTGTAGCAGAGCTGCGTTTGGTCATTGTTCCACTGTATGCAATCCGGGTCTGCTATGTTATTAATGGGGCTGATCCAGTTTGTTGGATTTACAAACGTGTATCCACATTCAGTTGGTGGCTTACAGCATCCAGACTGTAAAGAAAAAAACATAAAGAATAAAGCTAAAGATGAGTATACTTAGGAAAAGAAGATTAACTCATCGTTGGAGAACCTAGTTACCTTAACATGCATGCCTAATTCTTCTTTACTTTTATTCTTAGAAAACGTGGTCTTAGAGCATTCTCAAGCATAACCAGTTTAGGATAAGTCTGGCAATTTAATATTGAAGGTATTCATGTATTTGTTGTAACAAGCAGTAAGATTAATCATAAGAACTCCACATCTGGCATTGAGATTTATGGAATAATTTGGAACTAATAGCAGATAAACTGAGATTTACCTCTATGGGACTTAGATGAGTATTAAAGAAATCTATAGCCATTGTATAACTCTGGTTCAATTGGGCACAAATCTCTGTTGAGCTGAGACAGACTTTTATCCTCTCCCACTTGTAAGAACTTCTGACTCTTCGTTGAAGCCAGCCTGAATAGTCTTCCAGATGATATTCCAAGTATGTGCGACTAGGTGCAAGGTGGCCTGAACCTCTAATGGTAACCATATAGATGAAAACTACCAAGCATGCAAGCAATATGATGAGGATAAGCATGCCAACAAGGTAAGCAATAAGGAGCCAGGGGATGCGCCAAAACCCTCCTATAAAGCCTGCTAGAGCTACAACCAAGATTAAGATCCCCAAAACTATAACAGGCCATTGTAAAATCTTCAAACAAGAATTATCTGGTTGATTTGCAAGCCAGATTCCAGCACCAATGACTGGAATTGAGAGCAGCATAGCAACAAAGTTGATTGCACCGATCACATTGTTGCTTAATGCCATTTTGTTTGGAGAATTATTCAGTGAAAACCTATCTGGGTGTTGTTTTGAGATCTAACAACGAAAAGAAAGGGAATTGCCTCGAGTAAAGATATGCCGTGTTGAAAAAATAGGTACATGATAAAGCTTCTGTTATGCAACCCCACATGTTTTTGTTCTTTGCCCTGGATCCATGAAAGCACTAAAGCAATTGATAACAATTTTTAACGTGTATTTAGATCTTCAAGTATAATCACTTTTAGTACCACTTTTTGAAAAGCAATACCTTGTACAGGATATGGGAAGAAAAAGAAACAAAAGTGATTAGTTGTCCACAACTTTTTTATTTATTAAGGAAAAAGAAAAGAAAAAGAAAATAATACTACTAGATAGAAGACAGTTAATATGTCCAAAATGCCTTCAGGCTTAACCCTGCAAAGATTGTGTTTTGGTTTTGCTTTCCTGCTGCCTTTAGGTTTTGCTTCTTTCTTGCAACTTTGAACTGGTTTCAAGACTTTACAAGAGACACGCCATGCAATTTTGATTCACAGCTTAATCTAAATTTCCGTGACAGTTGATGAAATAATTTCTAAGAATTCAAGAATCTTATTAAAATATACAAAAAGATTCTTAAATCGACATTTTATTTCCTCCAGTCGTCCTAGTGATCTCTCATCAGATCAGGAGTCAGGACTAATAGTTTTGCAGCTCCAGCAATGCTGTGTTGAGGATTTGGAAGTTTCACCATTTAAGCTTTGCTGGGAAATACTGCAATTTTTTTTCAATTGAGATAAATTAATGAATCAACTTTGAAGAGGTAAGTACTGATAGCTGGTAAGGAAAAAAGGAAATGGAGCTTACCTTGGCAATAAGGGATTCATAATATGGCTTGACCTCTTCAACATCAACCAGAACTTTGCTCTTACTGTAGAGGTCATATTTGCTGTCAAGAAAAGCAAGTCAATAAGTTAATTTTTCACAAAACAATTGCGAAAAATAAACCATTTCAAATTGAATAAGGAAGAGGACACTTACTTGAATACTTTAAGCCATTTCATGTTCTCCTTATCCTCCTCATTCATCAACTGGGTATATGCTCCACACTTGTGCAATGCTGCAAGTGAGACGGGAAGGAAATCGACGTCATTAACGAAATTGATCAGAAAATACTTGTGAGTAGATAATAGCATGATCAGAAAATTAAATTTCATTGAAAATGCTTACGGTAGAAGGAATGGTATCGGATGATGAACAATCCTGCAGAAGGCAATGTGGTTCCATTTTCCTTGGCCACCTAAAAATTATGAGATGGATAATATAGTATTAACTAAACTTTGTGGCAAGACTGGATTGAATGAGTTTAGCTTGGAGGGACGATTAATGGAGTCAAATGTATACCATGTACATATAGTCATCATGCCCCCATGACATGAGCACATTGTCTAGTCCACATCCTTCAAAGTAGACCCCATTTTTGGTGTTGTAAATTGGATTGTTGAAGTCAGGATTTTCCTTAAAGTACTGCAGCACAAAATTTATGAATTGTATATTCATCTGAGTTAGATCATATAACACGAATATGTTTAATTGGTAAATGATTAAAGATCAATGCTAAGATTTAAAAACCTTGTGATGAACATTAGACTTATCAAAAGCACATCCAACAGGGAATGTATCACCTGTTACATTGAAATTAAATTTTCAATTAAAATTACAAGAGGAAATATGAAAATACTTTTTAAATTCAAAACAAATACACTTACCAACAACAGCCCATTGAGGTAGCTCTCCAAATTTTGGAAGAACAAGGATTTTTCCTAGATCTAAAATGCATTGGAATCCAATAATCAGAGGCTATACAAAAGAGAATAAATACAGTGAATTTGTTCTTAATATAACAAGGCAGGGTTTTGTTTTTTTTATTTTACCATGAATAAGAGCAGTCAGGTGCAACCAGTCTTCATTAGGATAGTCTTTTCTGATTGCTTCAGCACTCTGCAGCAAATGCTGAATTTGGGGTTCATCCAAATCAGGATCACTGTCATCAACAACCTCATTGAGAAGTTCACAACATTCCCATATTCCCATCTCTGCCTTATCAAGCTTCCTGTATTCTTCCCTCATCCGCTTCACCTATACGTTTGTAATTTGCAGCAATCAATGTATTAAATTTCCATCAGTAATTATTCAATTACACCATGCATGATCCCTTTTGTCCAAACATATTGTTATTTATATACAAAAATTTTACTTACAAAATCATATGTTTGGTTAATATGACTCAATTTGTAGTGCTGCTCAACAATGTCTTTCCTTGCACCATCTGCTTCATAATCCCTGTCAAATCATATTTGACCAAATATTGAGAATTTTAATCGGATAATATTCTGGGAAACCTGCAAAATAAGTTTAAGAAAATAATTTACCTGAATGAGTTTCCGAAAGCATTGTTTTCAAGCATTGCAAATTCTTCATTCGATACCAATTGATTAGCATCAGGCTGCCATGTTCATCCCCTTAGCTTGAGTAACTGAGAACCATAGAGTGCATGCTAAGATTAAAACAAATAATCATCATTGAATCTAAAATAAAAATTGGGATGGAGATGAAAAGCAGATCAAATACCAATTAGTTGATCAGGCTTCTCAAAGCAGATAGTCATCTTCACTGCAATAACCAAGGTTAAAGGAAGATCAAGAGAAGTCAATGATGTTGGGATACCATGAGACTGTTATGGTTGGAGTTATATAGCAACTACAAGAGAGTCTTTGTCAAGATATTGTAGAAGACCTAAGAGTCCTTGATTGAAAATTTTACTATCCATTCACTAAAAAACTAATCCTTAATAAATATTTACAAGTTTTGGGTTTTTCATTTTTGGATTAAAACAAAATCTATCTATATCCAGCTAAATTAAGTCAAATTTTCTTAAAAATTTATGTGGTTTCTTTTGGCTGGTTCAAATTTACTTGGATCTTATCTTTTTCTTCTTGGGAGGGTAAATTTTGTATAAAATGACGTGGCATCTAGTCATGGATATATTTTTTACTATGATAAATTTTTTATTCATATTCAATAAAATTTTTAGATTTTAAAAATAAATTAGCGAAGTGATGTAAATTTTTTAAAAATATTAAAAATTAAAAAATAAAATGTGTTAATTTTTTAATTCGATGTTTAAAATTAAAAAATTTAAGTGATAATGTATCAAAAGAATTCTTTTACTATTTATGTGAAACTAGGATAAACTTAAAACATGCCACATAGAATTCCAAGTATCTAAATTAAGAAGCCAAAGAAGGGAGCTTAATATGAAGTGGATGATCTTTTCATTACATTGCTATTAGCTACCTTGTTTATTAAGGATTAAGTACATAAATTGCTAGTATACTACATAGCTTCATTATTCTTTGTTCTCAATAATTGATTTTGAAGATTTTGATGATGTTTTCAATGCAAATTGTGGATGACACAACTCATATGAAGAGTTGAATTTTGAAATCACAAAAAAAAAAAAAAAATCATGATTGATTTCAAGAAGTAAATATTATCAATAATATTTTGATTATGAACACCATGAATTCTCCCTTAATTCGAAATTCACAAGGGAAAGTTTTAATAGTAGTAAAAATATACATTGCAAATAAGGAATAAAGTATTCTTCATCTTTATTTTTTATTTTTTATATTATATTTATTTTTGTATTTATAATTTCAAACTGATTCATACTCATATTTTTATTTTCGTGAGTATTTTATAGATAACATATGTAACATTAAAAAAAGCTAAAATAAAAATATTTTTTGTTTTTATTTTTATAGATTTATGTAAATTTTTATAAATATATTAATTTTAATTAATTTAAAATAAAATTTATATTATTAAATAAAAATTAATTTATTAAATATATAATATTTATGATAAATGTACGAGATAAATATTATATTTTTCATCCTTATATCTATACTCATAACAAATAAAAAATTTAAAATTATACCCACTTTTATCCTATTTTTAAAATTTAATGTCCACTCTCACCCTTATTAAGATAAAAAAAATTAAATGTTTTATTAGATTTGATTAAAATTTACATCTCTAATGGCAAGTAAAAAAAATTCAGATGAAAAATCTTGAATGTATCAAGTAAATATGAAAACAATATTTATCACCATAAATCAACAATTTAATACTTCTGCCTTTTTTTTTTTTTTTGTTATTTTCCCTCAATTTCTGTAATTTCATTTTCTTGATTCTTGAGAACTACTGCTATAATTATCCAAAGGAGAAACGAAAAAAAAAAAAGAAAAAACAAAATGACCATATTGATCCATCAAATAAAATCTCAACTCATTCTTATCCACAGTCTATACTGATTGAAACTTGAGGTTGAAATATTTTCTGTCAGAATAGAAAGTTGAAATCTTTGCTGCTGACCCAAACTCAATAGCAATGGCGGCTGTTGAAGCAGTAGCAGCACTCTCCTGGTCACGTTGCCCTTCTTCTTCCTCTAAGCCCTTCCTATGTCCCAAAATCGCAATACTCTCTTCCTTAACTTTCCACATTTCCAAGTCTACCCCTGTGCTTTTCCATAATTTCTCCACCTCTCCACGAATCAGCACCCAAAGGAGGCTAGGTTTGCTACTCTGTTCTACAGTGCAAGAAGTGGGCGTCGAAGCTGAAACAGAGAAAACCCAGAAACCCAATGTGAAAAGAAAGCTTTTTGTGCTTAATTTGCCGTGGTCTTTTACGGTTGCTGATATCAAGGACCTCTTTGGCCAATGTGGAAACGTTAAAGACGTTGAGGTTCTTTTTTTTTTTTTTTCTCTATAAAACTATAGGTTTCTCTTTTTGTCAAAAAAAAAAAAAAAAAAAAACCTTTTTGGGATGATTTATGATATGGGTTTTTTTGCTATGTGGGTTCGTTTTTAGATTATAAAGCAAAAAGATGGGAGAAGCAGGAACTTCGCATTTGTGACAATGGCTTCTGGTGAAGAAGCTCAGGCTGCTGTCGATAAACTCGATTCTCATGTAAGTTGTTTTTTTTTTTTTTTAATTTACTCTTTGTTTAGTTGACGTTTTCTTTCCTATCACAATCTTTATCTAGGGTCTGCCATGTATTTTCTGAAAGTCTAATCAACTTGGTTTTCTACTTGCTTAGGGAAAATGTAAATCGTTTTGCACATTTTCATTGTTATATTGCACGAAATGAAATCTTGTGAGATAGTGTTTTTCAGGTGGATATATGAATGATTGTCATTTTTAAGATATTCAATTGTGTCCTGTGAATCAGGCCCTGTTCTTTTAAATGAGAGATACTTTTAAAACTCTGGATTTGAGCCGGTGCCATGGGATTGTTGGTTTGGATGGGTGAGGGTTACCCTTGTTGTTTGAGCTTGTGATGGAGCAGAAACTGAAAAAAAAAAGAAGGGAGGAAGACATTATCATCAAGAGTTAAATAAGAGAATTGCTTTCCATTGCATGCATCTCATTTTGCATATTTAAGTATGATTTATGGTGCAGGAAGTGTCAGGGAGAATAATTAGGGTAGAGTTTGCGAAGAGATTCAATAAACCTTCACCACCTTCTCCACAGCCGATTGTTCCTTACCGTGAGACACGCCATAAGCTTTATGTGTCGAATCTTGCTTGGAAAGTAAGGTCAAGTCATATCAGAGAATTTTTCTCTGCCTTTAACCCAGTTTCAGCTAAGGTTGTTTTTAGTACTCCTTCAGGACAGTCTGCCGGGTATGGCTTTGTTTCCTTTGCCACAAAGGAGGATGCTGAGGCCGCAGTTTCTACTCTAAATGGGAAGGTAAGCAAATTTAATCTATATTTTTTGTACTCTGCATCATTTTGCATTGTTTTCTGCTTCTTCTTGGAGAGCACTATCCATAGACCATTAATGTTGGCTAATATGATTACCAGGCTAACTACATTGGTTTTGAGGCTTATGAAGGTGATTTGATTAGAACTCTTTTGTATTATGAGATTGTCTCGGACATGAGTTTTGATATTCCTCTCAATATTTATAAAGTTTTGAATTTATGTTCACAGAAACTTGTCTTTGTAGTCACTGTAATGCTTTTCTAACTCCTACTTAGTTTTGTTCACTCACTCAACTGCCACCTTGTTACAGTTCTTGCTAGAGTCCTTTGCATTTGTCTCCTTTTCTAGTCTCTGGTCTAAATCATAAGTTTTTGACTAGCTGATATACTAACTTAAAACAACCATAAGCAGTAAAGAAATCTTAACATAGAAGTCAAGAATATTGAGAATATTGCTATAAACTAAAATTTGTTTCTTCACTTGATGTCAAATAGCATGAGAATATTTGCTATGGACTTAAATTGTGAATATATTCTTTGTTACTTTTGATTTTAAGCATTTATGCATTTTGTTGATGAATAATTTCTACATAAGTTTCTTTATATATCAGCTTGACTGAAAACATTGTTAAAAAGAAACGTTTGAACAAACTCATCATTCTTCATTTTTCAGGAATTGATGGATCGGCCACTACGTTTAAAATTCAGTGAAAGGAAAGATGATGACTCTGGAGGTAAAAAGAAAGAGGAAAAGGAGCCTGATGGCCAAACTGAAGAGTCTTAGATCTTCACAAAGTTCACTTGGACTTCATCTTTCCATCTTTTTCAGATTATTGTACAAATGAGGCTTAAGTCAGAAAGTTTTGTCACCTGCCTATAGAAGTGGTCTGTAAGTGTTTACATTCTCTATATTTTTCCTTTTCTTTGTGTCTCAATAAAATTTTCATATAATTTATTATGTATTACATGTATTCAATTGATTTAGATGGGAATTATGTTTTATTGGATAATTGTTTAAAGATATTCCATTTTAACACTTTGCTTTGCTAATCCATTGGCATCTACTGGGAGCTAATGAGAGGGTTGGTTAGAAGAAAGAGTAGGGTAGGGTTGTTGTGAGGATGATTAGTTTTAAGAGCAATCTGTGGTTACTTAAGATTATCTGAAGTTTATATAAATAGCCCTTTGGAATGTGCAAAAAAGATGCAAATAAAGATTGTATTGATCCAAACCCTTTCAAATATTAGGTCTTAGGCAGAAATTCTGTCATGGTAAAAAGCTAGATTATCACTTTCCTTAATTCCAAAAGACAAGAAGTTTTAAAATTCATGACAGCTCATTCGGTATTCAGAATTTTGTATCCCTTACGGTTAGAGACTACATGGAAGTCATCACAAGCTTCAACAATTCCACCTCTCTTCCTGTTTCCCTGTCTTTGCTTTGCTTTCATGTAAGCCCTTTGGGTTTGGCAGCTTTAACATTCTTTTGTTCTTCAGAAATTTGCATTCAGGGGAGCCCCTCAAGGCTTAGACTCTGTCTTGCTAGCATTTTTTGCACAATTACGGCCAATTGAACTGCATCATATTTTGCTCTTTCGATTCTATCCATATCTTATTTGCTTATTGTAGGTATTCGTTTGATGCTTTCTTACTAAATCATTTCTATGATCATAATATTTCTGAAGAGCCCTAGGAACAGTTTTTGTAATTTCAGTGGTTTCACAAGCGGTCCTAAGGGCTATTCCATTTTATCTTTGTGTCAGGGGTTGGATGCAATGATCTAATTGTTATCATATTTACCTACAACTTGTGAACGTGTAAGTATTTAATTCTTGGAGTTTTCTTCACCTGTATGGGTCTGTTGGTAACCAAAACTTTGGTGCATGCGTGAACCTAGACTGTTCTCAGGCTTTTGTAGCTTGTATTACCACAATGGGCAATATCTTCCTCCCACTCCCATAGAATTCCTGATGATGATTCAGGCCGAAATTTTCTCCCTCTTGTGATTGCAATCATTGGCCTCTGGCAAGCGCTTTTCTTCTAGCAAGTTATATCGATAATATCTAAATATGTGGGAACAAGAAGAAGAGGAATCATGATTGGTGAAGCATGGGTAGACAATTACACAGCTGCCCATGAGCCATGGCAGACTTACTACCGGTTGGATGAGCTTATCAGTCATTACAGTTTGCAAATATAAAAGGTGATGGCTTGATTGAAGGACAGGTTGCTCTGTTTGCCTCATGAGTTCAAGAAGATGAGAGTTTAAGGCTCTTGCCTAAGTGTTGTCATGCTTTTCCTGTCCATTGATTGATACATGGTTAGGTCTCATTCAAAATTGCCTTTGTGTCGTGCAACTTAATCTTTTATTAGTGCTTCATCACTTCCATTGCCACCCAGTGACAGAAGTCCTCCAGGAATGAATTTTTGCAGATAGCAATCTGTGACAAATGAAATGTAGCTGCTGCTCAAGCTCAGGAAAGGGAGTATGCAGGAGTGGGCAGAGTTCAGATCTATCTTGGTGGATTGCCAAAGACTCATCACGTGCTTTGAGCGATTTAGGCATGATCAAGGAAGAAATACATAATTGAGATTAGAGAAGAAGGTTATAACAGATGAGAAGATCAATTTCCATGGATCTTTATGTCAACCAACTTTCAGTTGCTGATATTTTGTTATATCAAGTGAGACACTAGAGATGAAATGTGAGGCATGCTCTTATCAAATGGTATTGCTGGATCATCAAAATAATCAGCAAGAAGCCAGTAAGCTTAGCAATAAATGAGGTCTTGCACTGTGCAATAACCCTATTACAATGAAGGGATCTTTTTCAGTGGTGATTCTTTCATACTAGGCAAGGAAGATAAGAGATCCTTCTATTCCTCTCTAAATATAGCCTTTGGCAGAAAACCGATCATATTCAGAGCCGTATAATTATGAAGAGATAGATTTGTATGATTGTCTTACATTTACACCGTTATCGGTTGAATATGTAGGATATATATTTGGATAAGTTGAATATATGTTTAAATTTAGTCACTAGGAGAGAGTATTCATAGACATACAGTCATTTCACCTAATCATGGAACAAGAATTTTTGATTGACAGGGTTTTTCGGAACAAGCAATGGTCCTAATTGGTCCACCTCCAACAGATTACCAAATGTGAAGGAAGTTTAAAATGGACCAACAAAATAAATCTACTCAAGTGATGGGTTCCCTCCCAGTCTCCCATGTATGAATGATTATGGAACATGCATATGGTCATCTCAATCCTAGTTAAAATGTTTTGACTGAAAAGAGATAGAGCTCTGGGGAAAAAACGTAAATCACCATTACGTTCGGATTCTGTTTTAGTTAAACAAAAGGATCTTCAGTTCAGACCAAGATGAAGTCCAATAGCATGATGGGTTCGAGAACAAGCTGCTCCTTGTGGCCCAAGTGTGAGTTCCGAGGTGAACAAATTGAAGACCAAAAGAAACGTCAAGATTCATCCGACGGCCCTGTCCAGTTTACACAAGAAGACACAAGTCTTAATTAGGGGGCGCAGATTCATGCTTACACAAAGAAACAAAAGTGAAGGCTGAAATGCATCGAATCCCACAAAACCCTCTAGCTCTCAGCTTTTTTTTTTCCTCTCTTGTAAAACTACAAAAACCATATCACTTTTCCCAATGTCCTTCCCGGGCCCCTTGCACTAAACCTCTGCAATGTCTGTCGACCTTGCATTTTTCTTCATCATCGAAACCAGCTGAAATTAGAAAATTGTCTCCCGTATAAGAAAGAGAGAGATGAGATATACGTTAAATCGGCCAATCAATTAATGCTTTTACGTTGTTGGATTTTCTTATGAAGTATTGAAACAAAAACAACAGATTTGTGCGAGATTTTTCGAAGATGTTTCACTGGCAATTTTTCACTACAACATACGAGTAAAAATGACCTGCCTCAACTATCAATAAATATATAGATTGGCCAAAAAAATATATATATATATATGTGTCAATGGGGGAGTAATTTGGAAATATATTTTGTGGAAAGACAGAAAAACCCTTAACATCGTCCCAATGCCAATGCTCATCCTTAATTGCCAGCAGGTTCATATTGCAAAAGAAATCATGTTATGGGCATGTATGTGACTTCAACATCCCATTGACATTTAATGAAAAAAAAAAGTAGTAATAAAGTTTGTATTTCATACACTCCCAATATCAGCATCCTTCTTGATTTACCATATGAACATTCAGACAAGTCATGCCTAAGAAAAACTCGAAACACATGCACTTTTCATTGACTCAAGCTATTTACATACGGGAATACTAAAAACTAAAAATTGCAGAAACACTAAACAAAGTAACAAACCCAAACCGAGAACCCATCTAAAACCCCTCTCAAGAAAAAACTTAAAATGAAAAATAAAAGTGGGTGGCATTTTGATGATTTCACCACAAAACCAGAAGGTAATTTAGGTGGCTAGCACAATTTGATCAACATATGGCAGTTGCATCTTCCTCAATTATTCTGAGCATGTGGTGAACTGCCCCTGCTATGTCATCTACTGAACTGAGTTGGCATCCTTCTTCAACCTGCATTTAGAATGTTTCAAATTTTAGCCTAAAACGGTTATAATTTTCTTGAATTATATAGAAAAATTAACTAGAGAAAGGAAACAGCAGTAATAATAAATGAGAAAAAAACGATCTTCTTGCCATTTTTCACATAAGAAAATTATTTAAGGCCATTACCACTATAACTTCAAAAGGTCGTCTAAATTTTATTTGATTTTTCTTAAATTATGGAAAATGACATTTTGCCCTTCCAAGGGAAAGACAAAGTATAGGAGAGGAAAAGATAGTATCTGCCCGCTACCCCCATATGACAATAATTGAAGACTAGCATCTCTAATAGAATAACAATGTTCAAAGGTTCTACATGCATGCATGTTATTATATTGTTATGCCATGAGTATTGGTGTGGGTGGGGGGGGGGATATTTTTCTTAAAAAAGAAAGATGAAGGCGGTGGGGAAAAAAGGGCAAATATTACCTTGGCACTGATAGAGTAGAGAACTAATGGATCCATGGTTGTGACATTAAGGTGGAGGATGAAAAGGTAAAGTGACTGAAAACCAGCAACAAGCTTGGAAAGCAGCCTGGGACCTTTTCGTGAGAGAATTCGAAGATTAGCATGAGTTTCAATCAATGTCACCTCAATATCCGCTGTTGATGCCATAGTCTTTGATGTATATTTGTTAGGGATCTGAGAGCAGGTGTACTGAGGATACATAAAAAATTGTGCAAATGGTGGTGATAACAATTTGGAGTTGGTGGTTTCTTCATTGGCAGCAGCTGGTACTTGTTGCAGCACTCGAAGCTTTTGAGCTTCAAGGGTTTGCAGAAGATGCTCAAGTTCCTTGACAAACTCTATAGCACCGCCAACTATAGACGCTTGATCACCCTACACAAATAAAAATCATTTATGTTAAGGGTTAAACATCTTAAACTCATGCATTGTTATGGAATGAGAATGTTGGAACTTCAAATTAAAGTAATAACCGTAAGTATGTATCATGATTCTCCTGCTGAAATTCTATTTAAAAATCATAATACAGGAAACAGCTGGTCTCTTTTTCAATATCCTTATAATTACTAATTCCATATAATTTTATAGGAACAATTTTTTCTTCTATAGTTTCAGCTTTTGCAATAATCCAAAGAAATAGCAAAGGACAATAACAGGATTTTTTAAAATATATTGCCAATTCTAGCTGAACTTTTTATCTTGACAAGTTCTGATAAATTTGCTGCAACATTGTGCCAAACTATTATTGAACTTTAGAATTCAATCGCTCCAGCTTTTCAGATTAAATCACATCACAGTTCTACTACTCAAGGTATATCAATTAGTTGAACCTTGAAGTAGCGATTTCTCTAAAAGTAAAGGACTCGGTAATTGGTCAGTAAAACATGGTAAATGCAGTGGAGCTAACAGGAAAAGAAAACATTCTAAAGTCATGAACTATAATATAAATATAAATATATATATATATATATATATATATTTCAACAATCCAGAAATATGGATACATTAATTTAATTCCAAAGCCATAAAACCCTCCATTTTTGTTAGACAGTTCATAAGCCAGGGTTTCCCAATATAGCATTGAGTTTTGTTCCTTGTCTTGAGTTTGAATGGCTAGGACCCTTATAGACCATGAGAGTAACACTCGTTTTCCCTGAAACTCATTTGAGGGAGAAGAAGAGAAGAAGGAAAAGAGAGGAATAAAAGAGAAAGGATGGAGAAGACAGACCCTTTGGACATAAGATTCAGGCATGAGGGAGCGTAAAACAGACAGATGCTCATTCATTTGCTTTCGCCTGTTTCTCTCAACAGCAATGTGAGTCATTCTTTGTGTCTCAGCCTCTTCTTTGTTCTTGCAAACCCTTGGCTTTCTCCTTCTCTTATTCCTCCCTTGAACTGTCAAGTTCGGCCTCCGGTCAACAGCTTCCGCTCCTTTTGAGCGGCATTGTGGAGGAGTCACCATTGAAAAGCAATTCAAAGCACTACTAGCTTGTTCTTGGGAACTGAAACTATTTTCCAATGAGAAATTAGTCACAAAAGAGTCATGGCTGCTATAAGGTGTTGCACATATAGTATCATAGATAATGAAGTTCAAGAACTCGTTGGAAGAAAGGGTTTCAAGAGCCATTTCTGTACAATCTGCACAATCCACACCTCCGAACAATGTGACTTGAAATATTGGAAACTAGAGGGAGAGAGAGTGGATTAATTAAGAGATGTTAAGATGGAGTTAGGGAGGGACTTTGGACCTAGAAAGAAAGATACGGTGCACGTGAGAGGGGCAGGAAAAGGAGATCTTCTCTTTCGTGATAGAAAAAAGTGAGGGAAAAAGAAAGAAGCTCTTCACTCATCCTTGTTTTGGGTTTGTCTTCCCGATTTCATAGACGCTGTCAACACTGGCACAGACTCAGTAATGGAGAGTGCGTAGGGGGACCCAAATCTATTTAGAATTATGCATACCAACAACACAACAAGCTGGGTAAAAGCTACCCTTCACATTCAAATCAGGGTTGTATTTTGCAGGGAAAAATGATTGGCTCACGTACCCTAGATTTTCATACACATTTTTTACATGGAAAGCTTAACATGTGTTTGACAACCCATTCTCCGCAGTATAATTGGCAATTTTATTCCTAAATTTTTCTAGTTTGGTTCATCAAAATTGGATTTTACCAAGGCTGTTTATCATTTGACTCGCCAATGATCAGAAAATGCAAATAAATGAAAATGTGAGAATGATCAGAGTAAGACTGCAAAACCCATTAACCGCACAAAAAACAATTATTGAAAGAATAATGATATATATATATATATTTGAAAATGATTAATCACCCAAAGTTCGTAAAAAAATAACGATGAGAATAATTACTAAAAGAGTACTAAATTACTTATACAAGCCAAAAATAAGGCATTAAAATACAGTTAAATGTATAGGCGAGAATATGTATAGGCATATACAACAAGTAAATTAACCGTTTTAATTTGTAAAAAAAAAAAAAAAAAAAAAAGAGGAAAAGAAATGCACGAAGAAGTAAAAATCAGCTGAAAAATCTTATAATAATAAAGCCTTGTGAACTAAAAATTGCTACGAGACGTTTATAATTAATGATTGCTGATGTGATGAAATTTTGCTTATTATAGGCTGCCATTATAGCGAAAGACATTTATAATTAAGATTTTTATATTGCAAAAATATATCCATTAAATTATTGCAACGTATTAAAAATAGTAAATTTGTAAAAAAAGTAAATATTGAGAACAATTTTATATATAATTTTTTTCGAAATATAACTTGTACTAACCTATTACAATATAACATCACTAAATATATATATATATATATACCTTACAATATTTATACAAATTACTTTAAAATTTTTGTTGAAAATAAAAATTTTCTCATAGTGACTTAAAATAGACAAAGGAAAATGTCAGAGTAATTGCTATTTGCCACGTGTAATTTACTTATGGTACTAGTACAAACTTTGCATGCTAGATATGTTTTTTTCTTTTTTTTTTATTAAAAACAAAATTACGAAGGCGTGTGAAACAAGAGAGAGAAAGAGAGACAAGAAACACAGGGAACTGTCGCCTTATCTGTTGAGGTCAGGCGGTCCAATTTGCCAGACAAATTGCAGGGTAATCCATGTGACCCTCAGCTTCCTACACATTTTAATTTCTACCCTTTTTTTTCTTCAGCTTTTTCTTTTCTTTTTTAACGGTCTCCCTTGCCTCTTTCATAATTCATATTTCGTACTGATTGGCTAAGTTTTTCCTAGATTTTCATCTCCAGTATTGTTCCTTTGTACAAATAAATGTTAATATCTACACCTCAGAAACTTCAAAACTACATACCATACCCATGCACACTATGAGTTGTAGATTGTATTTATCCACTGACATTTGCCAAACCAAATGGGTCCGTACAACATGACAAAAACGTATACAAGTGCATGTCCTTGTCCAAGTCCATGGTCATGGGCATGCCCGATGTTTTCTTGGTCTTTAAGGGACATGAGTTCAATAATCAGTTAACCAAAGAAGCATCACATCACGGAATAGATGAACCTTGGTAGCCTGAAGATTCTAAGGAATAACCCCATGACATAATGTATTTTCAGTGAATATAGTTTCTTTACAAGAAATGTATATATATATATATATGTGCTTATTATTAGAGAAAATACAGTTCGTGCAATGCAAGTAACCTATAATAACAGGATAAACAACAAACGATCAATGTCAGTATAGTAACTAACCTACCTTTTCAATTGTCCTATAACTATATCCATGTCATGTTTACCATGTCCTATATTCATATTCACATTTCATAGAACATTACAACTCATATATCAACTTCATGCTAAAATCATGTAATTGTGGTTAGATTCCTCTATTCTGAGCTGTGTCGAGGACATTTTCTTTCTAAGGCACAACAGAACCAGATAATTTTGTTATAGCTTTCAGGGAAAAAAAAAACATTTTACAAGCAGACATAACGATCATCCCTACCAAAATTTTAACCTTACACCATAAAATTCTATAATTCCAATGACCACAGACAAAGTCAAAGCATAGAAAATCAGGATTAAAAGGGCAGATACTGATGAGGCAAACAGGGTGTCCACAGACAAGTTTACCAGCCCTGTTAGCACATTTGCCTGCAGAAATAAAACAAGAAAACCTGTTACGTTATTTCTCTTTAAGCCTGAGGTAGGCAGTGAAGAATTTTTTAGCACATAAATGAATGAAAAGGAGGATGTTTTCTTTACCAGAAGAAAAGAAGCCAATAAATTCCGGTCAAATGCTCTTTCAAGAGCTGAAATTTTACTCCCAGGGACATAATCGGAAAGCATTAGTACTGCTAAAAGCTGAAACGAGGGTAAACCTTTCATTAGCCATGCACCAATGTGACAATAGATAACAAAGCTATAAACATCCATCGTTATTCAAAAGGACAGGGACTTCTTTCTTTTATTTGAATTTGCAAAGTTTAAACATCCATCGTTATTCAAAAGGACAGGGACTTCTTTCTTTTATTTGAATTTGCAAAGTTTCACATAGAAATGTCAAACATCAGCAAGTATTTCACTTCCCTTTTGTGGTTAATTGCATCGATGTTGGCTGATTATACCAAAGACACAAAAAACAGGTAAACAGGTATGAGTTCAGTTTGGATAACAGTTTCTGGGAGTGAACTTCTCTTGAGAGACCGATGGAGAACAAACATGGTAATTTGGACCCATGAATACCTACCCATCTCATGGTTGATACTTGATCCTTTGATTTCTATCAATGTTGGGATGAGGAGAAATAAGTCAAAACAAATAAATTTTCCCTCAGTCTCACCATTTCTGCACAACACACTGACGTAGACAAGTCAAACTAAGTTTCACAGCTCCACCAAATTATACCTATCTTAAAAGAAAAGGAAACTTACACAAAGAATGCCCCTCCTTTTTCACTCAAACTAGCAGTTGACATTAAATCATTGAACCAGTACCATCCAAGCGTCTTTTAAGCACAAAAAACCTACTAGGGTTGTATATTTTGAGATTCCTTGTCGGTTTAAAAGAAAAAAGAAATGTTGATTAAGTATGAAAACAAGAAACATAAAGTTATCCTGTCAATGATTAAGTCCTGACCTTATATATTTTAGGAAAAGGAATGTTTAAGTAAAGATGACAGCTTCGTATGCCAAGAGCTTAACACCACATTGAAGATGAACATAGCAATTAAATTCTTGAAGTATTTAAATAAGGGAGGAAATAAGACTAACCTGCAGATTTTGAGCCAACACCCAAGTAACATAAGCCAAGTTGCACTGCAGAAATTGCATTGAGAGCTTTCATGATTAGTAAGGATAGTTTTACAAATTAGTAGTAAAAAGTAACATTGCAAAAATAGTTCTACAAATTAGTAAAATCTACTCGAGTAAACATATCCTACCATTCTACGAGAAATTCTTTCAACATAGCTTCTAGAATCAATGTCAGAAACTGTATACATAGGAGATTGATCAGGTTACCTTCTGAGCAATCAATTCATTCAGAATGGACAAACCAATATTGGTGAACAAAATCATGTGAGAGATTAATATATACCAAAACATGATAGACAGAAGCCACACTCTAATCCGTGTTCCATTGTTGCTTCTCAGCACAGCAGAAGAACAATTTCCAAAGAAGAGATAGTAGCCACACTGAAACACCGATAAGATACATGCCCCAGTATCCCTGGGTATGATAATCTTTGAATCAGATGATGTGATGAGAGCAGTACTAATGAAAGCAAAGAGATTGCACAGATTGCAACACCATTTTACTCTCTTAGACGAAAAGAACAACGGATAGCCTATTATTTTGCGAAACAAGTTAACCAATATTAGGGGTATACACCAATAGGACAGTAGTATATAGCCAAATCATCCTTACCAAATATGCTAAAAATTCCCTCCTTGTTTCTGCTTATTATATGCATTCCCCTTTCGTTAGAAAGAAGATACACATTTAGCCCATTACTCAACCAACTTTGGTACCCTGAGAGTTACAAAGTCAAGTTATTGTCTAGGACTAATCAAATAGCAATTACCAGAGAATAGAAACAAAATTCATCAATAGAAGTGTATACCAACTAAAATTACTGAACCAAGAATTCCAGAATATTTTGGGGGAACGTTTACTATGGATGTAAGGATAGATACACCAGCTAGTGTGAAAAAGAAATTCCAGTGTACTCCATATTCCCCCACATGAACCTACAAGGGAGAAAAGGAATTAAAAGAAAAAAAAGAAAGTATTGTGTAACAACCATCACCGGGTGAAAAGTTGAACGATGAACGTTTAGAAAGGCATCATTCCCTCAGACCAGTAACCAGTTTGTATAAATACTATGATTGTTATACATAATGCCATAATAAATACAGAGTGAATTCTGCTTGTGCATACAAACTGGTTTGCAGTATGTATATTATAATCTACCAATATTCCATCTGTTTACATTATGAATTCTGCTTGTGCATACAAACTGGTTTGCAGTATGTATATCATACATCTACCAATATTTCATCTGTTTACATTATGTGAGCAGATGTGGAAAACTACTAATCATATGCCATTGCAAAAAACTATGATAAAAAAAAGTCAAGAGCAATGAAATATATTCTACCTGATAGTCAACACTCAGTGTAGAAATAAGTCTACCAAATCCTAGCAGTAGTAGTGGAGTTGTAGATTTAAGGGTTGCCTTACACCAATTCCTTAGGAAGCATTAAGAAAAATTAGTGGAACATAGATCTGAAGTAGTATATACCTAATGTAGATATGCTGCATATTTAAAACAGAAAATTGTGACATCAATGTTATAAATATATGCTTAGAAGAAAAAATTTACATTAATAAGCATATAAATGACAA